CACACACACACACACACATATATATATATATATATATATATATATATAAATACATACACACACACACACACACACACACATATATATATATATATATATATATATATATAAATACATACACACACACACACACACACACACATACACACACACACACACATATATATATATAAATACATACACACACACACACACACACACATATATATGTAATTTATTTCTGTGATGGGAAAGCCGTCTTTACTGTCACTTTTGTATGGAAGGCCATTTCTGCCACAAAATAATAAAAAAGTAACTGTGACTACCTCACAATTTGGACTTTTATTTCTCACAATTCTGAGAAAAAGTCAGAATTGTGAGATATATAAACAGCATTGTGAGATATAAACTCATGGTTCTGAGGGAAGAAAATACAGAATTGTGAGATGTAAACTCAGGATTCTCAAAATTCAGAGTTTACATCTCACAATTTTTAGTTTATATATCGCAATTTGTTTTGTTTTTTTCGCCACGGAATGTAAAAAAAAAAGGTAATTGTGATTTTTTTATCTCACAATTCTGAATTTTCTTATCAGAATTGCAACTTTATATTTCGCAATTGCAAGTTAACATCTCTTTTTTCAGAATTGCTAGTTTATATCTTGTAATTCTGAGTTCAGAAAAAGTAAGACTACTAATTAAGATACGTTTTTTTTGTTTTGTTTTTTTTGTGGTGGAAACGGGCTTCCATACTTTTGAGCAGTTTAATTGATGCTTGCCTGTTTATGTTATTAAGCCTAAATGTAAATTTTTATGCCTAATATTGCATAGGAGGACCAACTTTCTGATGTCCTGACGGAGATTCGGGCGTTGCGTGCTCTGGTTCTGGCTCAGGGTCACAGGATCGACGTCCTGGAAAGGCAGCTCGCCCGTATTGAGGATGGAGAAGTGTGAAGGAAACTACAAACATATCACAACACGTAGCCTTACCCAGATTCAGAAAGCTTCACTGAAGGGTTATGGGAAATGTAGTTCCATTACTGTGGCATAGAGATACAAAGAAGTAATTGAGCTTTGAGCTTTATCAGTATACTTTGGTTTTTAATGCACTGAAATTCAATATCCTAAATGCTGCTCATTTTGTGCTTTTAATAGGGCTGTTACATCAGGTACTCACTACAGCTAACTACAGACTTTGAAGTCTAAATTTGCTTGGGTCACTATTTGCATAAACATGCAAACTTTAAATAAAAAGCAGACTTGATAATCTCTTGTAGCCTGCATTAAGACGGCATTTATAAACGCTTCTACTTAATGAAAGTAGTCTGAATCTTGAAACCTTCAGGAAATGTAATAATCTAACATGCTGAATTGATTCCTTTTTTCACTAAAGTTCAATGGTGTTTATCAACATAAGTACATTGACTAGCACTGTTCTTGGGTTTAGCTGCCCTCAACAGCTCCTCTCTTCCATTTGTATGTCTTAACACATGTAGCATTGATTTTTGGATGTTTTAGAGTTTAATATGTGGACACGTGAGTAACGTGATAGAAACTGTACTTGGTGTTGAAGGAATTTGTGAGCTATCAATATAACGAAAAAACATTAGAGCAAGAGTTTTGGTAATGAAAATAATAGTGCAGAGCTTGTAGGATGAAAAGCTGTCCATTTCACACCAAAAACAAATCTATAATTTTTTTTTACATGTGTTTGGACATGTTTTAAGTGAATTCTGTATATTGCAATCAAAATTTTACTTCAGATCTTTTGTTAATTCATATTTTTTCAGGATTAGTTGATTTTTTTATTATATTCCCATTACTGCAAGACAATAATAATTTTACCATACTGCAGTAAAAAAAATTTTTTTTTCTACATTTAAACCAAATTTAAGGTAAAACAAATACCACTATGATATATAAATGAGAATAGTTTTACATTATGGTAATGCAAAATGTGCTTAATTGTCATAGAAATGTCGTGATTGTCATTTAAAAAAAACGAATTACTCTCGATTTTCTTTTTTTCAAAATAGAATTATTATTATTTTATTATATAATATAACAACATATAACATTTTTATATTTTTTCCTTTGATTTGGGGTGGCCTGGACATGTTCTTGACAGGTTTGTTGAGATTCATCCTGTACCTCGATGAATAATTGGGCTTCATTCCTGTTTGATTGAATCTGAAAAATAATAGTAGAATGATGTGATGTTGATAGGCTTAGATGGTGTTGTTTTTGTATTTGTTAGTCTTAATCAAGGGCACTACAATCAGGAATGACTCAAACCGAGGGTCGACTCATCCTCCTCTGTGAATGATTTTAAGTCTAGCTTTATCAGTTGTATATGTTGTAAATTATCTAAGTATCCATTTACTTAAAACATAAGTGCTGACTTAATCTGTTCTTTTTAATAAATGACATTCACCCATTTCTACTGTATATCATTCGCTTTTATTATTCATCACGTTACAAGCATCAGGCCTGTGGTTGAGGTCAAAACAAATGTTTAGTGCTAATTTTAGACATGCATGCGTACTAGCTAAGTGCTAGACAGCGATTTCTACTGTAAGTGTGCACATTTCCTGGCTAATCTGGAAACTAAGAAGTAGTTAAGGTTAATCAAGGCTAAACTAAATTTCTACAACTAAAATGGCATGTGCAGTGATGTTAAAAACTGATTTAGAGATACTTGACCTGCTATGATTGAGAAAAATATTTTTTCTTAAACCAAATTTTGCCTGCATCTCGACTCTGTGGCCCTTCTCACATATAACTTGTAACTTGAGTCGAAAACATGTTCAAATGGTATTTAAAAAAAAACAATATGTCACGATATAATTGCAACTTTTGTGGTGTTGTGTAACAAACACAGATATCGTCTTTATCAAGGCTTTTGTTACATTGTGCACTGTATCTCTGCACTGCACAAGCAGTGAAGCATTCTTGTTTTCATGGTTCATAGCATCTTTAAACTCAGCATTTACAACAGGATGTGGTCTAAGAGAGACTTGCGCTTCATCACACAATCTCTAGCAAAAGGAAACTATGTTCCACTCAACTCTTCCTGTGCGGACTCTATATATAAGATATTTTGCACATGCTCTCTTTTGAAATATTGGTTTGACTATAAAATGTGTGCATATTTAGTCAATTCCAAGTTTCAAGATCAGATGATCGTTCTAAAATTCGAGCCAAATTTATTATTTTTGAATTCTTATGCATATTTCTTTATTACATTTACTTCAACATTACCCACTAAACTGCTTTAAATTTGAATAACCATTAAAAAAATTATGACATAAATAAATATTGAGAAAGGGTTTAGAATTTATATTTTACATCAAAATCAAAGTTGTCATCATGTTCTTAATTGTGTGCGGTCTCTCTCTCTCTCTCCCCGCCCTTCTTTCCTTCCTATAATATGATCATGACAGATTTGAATGTTCTATTTTATGCTCTCGTGGGCTATGGGTTTAAGGGCAGCTGAATAAAGGTGAGTTACTTTTGCTAGATTTTTAATGTGTTTTGTATTTTTTGATTTCTACTGGCATGTGCTGCGTATTATTTTATTGACAATATTTATGAGCAGCACTTTTCCTAAAATGCATTTTTAAAATCTGTATACAGACATGCTCATAAATGACAATCTCCGAGAGTCTATTGTTTAATATTAATGTTCTATTTTCACTTGCGACCTCTATTGTAAATAAGCAGTATTTTAGAATCATATTATGCATGGGTCTTTTGGAAACATGTAATGCAGGTTGTTTCGAACACAACAGTTAATTAGTTCATTTTTCCTTCTTTGAGTATTTGTCATTTGATCCAGTTTGGCACACGACTTTGGCAGTCAGACACATTTGCCCGTGCAAGAAAATTGCTGTGATCCATTGGGGCCGTATTTGAGCGCATGCACAGCTGCATTAGCAAAACTTGTGATTTGCTGTTAAGCGCTGTTAAGTGGTTTGAAACTCATTTATTTAGACATAGGCAGTGTTAGGTTGTATAAGGGGATCACAGAGGGGTGCATTAAGATTTTTCTTTTGCACAGCAATGACAATGTGAAAAGCCAAAGTGATTTCCTGCCAAGTTTTCATGCAAGCATGCTTACTTCCGTGCTACTGCACTTCAGAGGCTTTATCAAACGCTGTATGGCGGGAGCTGCTGTTTGTGTGGGCAACGAAGCCACAGTTTATTACAGTCTTTGAAACATGTTGCAAGTTTCTGAATACCTACCCACACTCTCAGAAAAAAATGTACAAAGCTGTCACTGAGGCGGTGGCCTAAGGTACAAAAGCTATACATCTTTGTACTTGATTTACCTCTAAATGGTATGAGTACCTTAAAGGTACATTTTAGTTCTTTAAAAGTAATAAGTAATTTAATAAGTATCGCTTTTTATTTCTCCTCTTTGCTATTACTTGTTTCACTTCTGTTTCAGTTTTTATAACCACTTCTTACTATGTGTAAGTTGTTGTTTTTTAGCATGTAAGTTTGGCAGTGTTATTTTTTAGGATTACTGATAAACTACTGTCATTTGCTTTGTATTATTTGTATTTGTTATTTATTTTAATTTTAGTTAAATTATGTCTGAAAATATATAAAAGTATGTGGTATAGTATACATATTAGTACCTTGTAAATGGGTACCACCTTAACTAAACTAAAACTACAAACATAAAAAAAATGTTACTTGAAATAAAATAAATAATACCATATTTCAAATGTTCAATAAAACACATTTCTCATTTTCATTTAGTGATGTACTAAAATAATTACAACTAAAACTGAAATAAAAATGAATAAAAACTATATAGACATATTTGAACAAAAAATCAGTAACTAATTAAACTGACAAAAACACACAAAAATGACTAAAACTTAAAATGAAAATGGAAAATACAAAATTAAAAACGTAATATTTAAAAAAAAATAGCATCTTGATACTAAAATAACACTGATGAAGACATTGTGTATTGCTATGTATTCATGTACACTGAAAAACATTGGTGTAGAAATATTTTCACTCAGAAATTGCTAGTAAATTCACAAATAATTACAAAGAAATGCAAGTAACATATTAAATTTGAAATTTTGAAATAGAAGGACTGAAATGGTATTTTCTTGCTAAACTTATTCCAATAATCTTTATTTACATGTTCATAAAAAAATCATTTTTTACAGTGCACTGTGTCCAGAAATTTTGTTTTTACTTGTATATTGTAATCAAAATCAAGTATAATTTGAATAAAAGTATTATTTGGATCTTTAAAATTGTTTTATCATTTAATTAAATGTATAATTCGGAATGTGTCCCTTAATTCAATCATTGCATTAATAAATCCCTGTGTGTTTCTCTTTGCACTCTCTTTAGTCATCATGAAGCAAAATATGAATAAGGACAACACCGCGACTGTCCTTGCCCTCCTCTTCATTTGGATCATACTTGTTCTGGCTCTGCTGTACTTTTATAAAAAACTGAATGCAGACACAAATGGACAGTACACCGTCCAGCGCATAGTCTTCGCCCCTGGCGGCCTACGGGATCGATTGAGGCAAGGAGTCGGGGTTGTGGAAAACAGACTCGGTGTCCGCATTTGGCCTCAGCGGCGTGATGACGAGGAGAACATAGGAGATAATGACGAAGAGGACAAGGAGGGTGAAGGTCGTGACAAACAGAATGACAGTTACACGGAGGAGGGGGAACAACAGGAGCATGATGACGACAGAGATGATTCTTCAGATGATTATTCCAGCGTTGACCTGAGGGAGAGGGCAAAGATGCAGATGGAAGAGAAAGAAGAGAAGGAGAAACAGAAGGAGGAGAAGGAGGAGGCAGCAGCGGGAGAAGAGGATAAAAGTCAAGAAGTGAAGAATGAAGAGAAAGTGGAATTGATTGTAGATCTGACGCCGTTTACTGGTAGTGCAATTTGGTCTAAGGAAAACAAAGATGGAAATGACTTGACTGCTTTATGAAAAGCTCAGAGACATTGCCTTTGAATTTAATAGGCGGGAAATAAAGTGGCTTGGCCCAGTGGGTGGCACGAAACATTTTTTATAACTTTGAGTCAGTTTAACCCTGTAAAGCCTGAAAAATCTGTTTTTTTCTTTTAATTAACAGTTTATTGTCATTGACATACCATTAAAACAAATGTTAAAAAAGGTTTTCATATGTGTTTGGGCTGAAAATCAATGATATGTTCATAAGAATACATTAGAATACTTACATAAAATGCATGTAAATATCTGTTTTCACTCTAAATCTTCCAATAAGATGTCATAGTAAGATAGTATTTAAATGCTTAGTTTTATGCTCCAAGCTCTGTATTTTTCTATTTTGGGGGCAAAACATATAATGCAATGCTATACAATGATGATTGAGAGATGGATAAATAAATGTTCCTATCATATTTGATATTCACATTTAGTAAGTTTTCATCTTGAAATATTACTAACAATGCAAATTATTCTTACATTTACTTTATATCAGTAAGGATTTCGAAGCAAAAAGGCACGTTTACCACAGTCTGAAGGGGGATGTTTTTATACAATTATACTAAAGGACATTTACTTGCTAAAAAAATTGGACAACAGAAGGCCTGTAGTAGATTGTACACAACATTGTTTTTCAGGAGAAAAAAAATTGGATCATGTTGATACTTTTGAAGCCTTAGAAAGTTGTGTATAAAATATGAAACAGTAGGCTTTATAG